TTCATCGGGAAGCTTTTGATAAAATGGAAGGTGAATTATGGGTGTCCGAGTGACCTGGAGCCGGGACCGAGCTGCTCTGCCCGCCGCCGGCTGGGGCTCCCCTGCGTCGCGTCCTGCCCTGCCTGGGCTGCCATCGCGGGCCCTAGCGCAGCTCCTTGGACGATCAATGCGAAGGGGAGCGCTGTAGTTTTACATGATGACCTTGGGTGTGGAAAAGGAAAAGATGGCGGGAAGCTGGGGGGTGGGACAGGGACGATGACACGCCGCAGCTGCATTTTTATCTGGAAACTTTGGAGAAAGTATTGCTGGCAGTGCGAGCATGCTGCTGTGCAGATGGGCTCGATTAGCCCTTGGGTCTCCCCTCCCCCTTCACATAGTGCTGGAGTGACAGATTGGAACTACAGTACTAGAGATACCTGCTCATTTTGCGCATCGGCCTGGTTGTAAAAGCCATTTTTAATGTGCCAAAATGTATCAAAATGGAAAATTATGACCAGTCCCTATTTACAGTTCTCCTGCTTTGCTCTTGGGTTTGGCAACAGTGACTACACACACACGTGTGTGTGTGTGTGTGTGTGTGTACATATATGCATGTGTGTATATGATACACACATCCAGACACACACATGTTGGAGTTAAACGGGTAGCCAACTAGCCTTAGGTCATTGAGTGCCCTCCCCCTGCCTTTTCTCCACAACCATGTCCCCTCTCCCAGGGGAGTAGCTCTGCATCTGAATGCAGCGCCCTTGAATCTTGCATCATTTCTGTTTGGAGAACTTGATGGCTCTCTGACTTTAAGGGCAAAGCGGCACACTTCATACTGTTCAGAAGTTACACTGTAAGTGAGGTGGAGCAGGTGGCCCTGCACTGCCTTGGGCTGCTGTGGCCCCAGGGCGTTTGAGCTTCCCAGTGGCTTAATTGTAATTTGGGGGGTGTGCTCAGTTCCTGATTGCTGTTTTCTCTCTGTCTCTCTTCTTCCGTCCACACAGTCACAATGGCTAAAGGTGACCCTAAGAAACCTAAGGGCAAGATGTCTGCCTACGCCTTCTTCGTGCAGACTTGCCGAGAGGAGCATAAGAAGAAAAACCCCGAGGTCCCCGTCAATTTTGCTGAGTTTTCCAAGAAGTGCTCCGAGAGGTGGAAGGTACGTGGCTTTACTCTCCTCCCAGCTGGTCCTGGATTCCAGGCCTCAGTGCCGCCGGCCTCGCAGCAGCCCTGGGTTCCATGGCCTTCTCACTGCTGAGACCTCTTGGCTCTAGAATATTGTGTGTGTGCTTTGATCTCATCTCTTGCGTTTGCAAGTGCTTGGACCCGCTGGCCCTTGCCTCTGAACAGGTGCATGCCTACTGCACTCAGGAATCTAACATGTCCTGTTCTTTGCAGACAATGTCTGGGAAAGAGAAATCCAAATTTGATGAGATGGCCAAAGCAGACAAAGTACGCTACGACCGGGAGATGAAGGATTATGGGCCAGCTAAGGGAGGCAAGAAGAAGAAGGACCCCAATGCTCCCAAACGGCCACCGTAAGTGACTGTAGGGCTGGGGGGGGGGACCGTTCCGAGGTTTTCCTCTGCTTGTGAGCCAGTCAGCTGGCTTGCTTGCTGCGGTTTTTCAAGGGAGATGCTTCACCTTTCTTAAGGGTCACGATGCCTCGGGCAGCCTTTGTGTACTGTGAGCTTAGAGGTGAGGGGGTTGTGTGTCTGTTGGGTGCCTGTGCTCTCCTCAACTGGGAAGGAGGCAGCCTCACTCTGGGTGTCAGAGTCCCAGAGTTGCCCTCCAGCCCTTTGGTGCCCGGTAATTGAAAAGATTAAGAAAGCCGGTGCCCTCCCGGAGCCTCCTCCACATCATGTGGTCTCTTGACTGTAACTGTGTGCATGGCATCTCTTGATGTGCTTTGGCGACTTAAGGAGAAGTGAAACGTTTGGAACTGGAAGCGTTCAAGCCCGTCAGATTCTGCCTTTCTAAACTCTCGTCGGGACTAGTCCTCGTCTAATACACACGGTTCTTTTTCCCAAGGTCTGGGTTCTTCCTATTCTGCTCGGAATTCCGCCCCAAGATCAAATCTACAAACCCTGGCATCTCTATTGGCGATGTGGCCAAAAAGCTGGGTGAGATGTGGAATAACTTAAGTGACGGTGAGAAGCAGCCTTACATCAACAAGGCAGCGAAACTGAAGGAGAAGTACGAGAAGGTAAAGTGAAGGTGGGCTTGAGCGGGCCTGCCTGGCAGCTTGAACCCCAAATCCCCGGGTGGGCAGGCTTCTGCCCGGGTCTGGGCAGCTTGTGGGCAGCGTGGCTGCTTGGCTGGGCCGAGGAGTTGTACTGGGTACAGACGTTGCAAGCACAGCGGCTGCCTGCCTCGGCGCCCTGTGTCCCACTCCTGCTTCCCTGTGCTGTGGTGGGACGGGCTGTTTCCCCCCTGCAGGGCAGCGGGCCTGTACGCGGGGGATGTGTCCGTCTCCCTTCTAGGATGTTGCCGACTATAAGTCTAAAGGGAAGTTTGATGGTGCGAAGGGTGCTGCAAAAGTTGCCCGGAAAAAGGTAGAAGAAGAAGATGAAGAGGACGAGGAGGAAGAAGACGAGGAGGAGGAGGAGGAGGATGAATAAGAAACTGCTTCTGCATCTCCGCATGGAGACCTTAGAGTAGGGAGCGCCACGATCGGCTCGTCTCTTTGAGATCCGTCTGTTGCCCTCATTAGATTGATTTACAAAATTGGACCAGGATCATATCGTAGTCTCTTCAAAGTGCTCTAGAATCCGTCAGTGGTTTACAGGAAGTGGCCATGGGTGTCAGGAGCACCCAGAAGCTGTATCAAAGTTGTACATATTCCCAAGCATTTTTAAAATGAAAAGGCACTCTCGTGTTCTCCTCACTCTGTGCACTTTGCTGTTGGTGTGACAAGGCATTTAAAAATGTTTCCGGCATTTTTGTTTGTTGTTTAATTTGTAAGGTGGTATTAACTATGGTTATGGGCTAGAAATCCTGAGTTACCAACTGTACATATCTCTAGTTTGTAAAAAGAACAAAACAACTGAGACAAACCCTTGGGGGTCCATGCTTGGCGTTGGGGCTGGGGGGTGGGGGGAGATGCCCTTTGGCGGGGCCGGAGCTCAGGGCATGCACTGTGAAGCTGACCTGTTGACACTGCGGTGGGCATCCCTGTAGCTTCAGGTTGTCTTGTTTCTGTATATAGTGACATAGGGTCTGCTGCCATTCTTAGCTGTGGAAAAGAGGGGTCAGCCGGCATGAGAAGTGTTTGGATTGTTTTGGTTTTTAGTTAAGTGCGGTAGTTTTTAAATTGTTTGTTTTAAAACAAACTGTGGCACTCTCCATTGTCAGTGAAGCGAACAGCTGCTGCATCCATGGAAGTTCAAGAACCTTCTGTACTGAAACACAATTTGCAAGTTCTGTTACTTTTTTTTTGTATGTTTAGAATGCTGAAATGTTTTTGAATTTAAATAAACAGTATTACATTTTTAAAACCCTTCTCTATAACAGACTGAATTTCTGACTTGGAGCAGTCTTAGTAGTTGAACCACTCACCCATTGGATCTGACGGCTGGTACCCCTGTCAATCTAGCCGCTCTCCACATGCCAGCTGCTTACGTTGGAGATGGGGACGGTGGCTGCTGGAAGCCGCCGAGTGATTTTTTTACTGGAGGGGCATTAACGTGAGGACAAGCTATTGACTGCTGAGACACATGCAGCCTTTTAAGGTGCAGGAAGGTGGGGGTTACACTGAAGCTGACAACTGTTGTGGGGCCAAGTGCATTATTGAATGGCAAAAAAGTCCTGAGGGTAGGATGTGTCCCAGGTTCAGGCTTGGGGTTTCTTGTCCACCCACCTGGCACATGCAGCATTGGAGGAAGTCGAGTTACTGCTACTGCTTCTGTCTCCTGGACCCCCATGGGGGTTAGTGTCTTTGTTTCCGCCTGTGTTCCTCCTGCCGGTAAAGCAGACACCCCAAGGTCTCTGTTCGAGCCTCTGTGTTGGGGTGCCTGAGCTGCAGGGCTGAGGAGGCCAGGGCAGGGTCACCCTGGTCGGATCACCTTGGTTTCAAAGCAGGAAGGTGGAGCAGTAGAAACAATGGTCAACCTGCACCCTGACGGCTGTTGGGAACGTACATAGGTGTTCAATGTTCTAAAACTGAAAGCGGCTGTCAGGTTATTTTCTGGGCCGTCCCAGTGAGGGGGACCTGCGGAGCAGAGTGTCGGTGCTGCTTACCATTGACACTGACATCCTTACACCTGAGGCTCAAACACATGCAGGATTTGGTGGCATTACTCAGGAGAAAGCAACTTGCTTTCATTGTTGGAAACCTGGCATGTCTGGAGGCAGTGTCCCCCACTCTGTCAGTTTCCAGTGGGTCCAGACCATGGTCCCAGCCCCTGGCCCAGCCTCTAATCTCCATCCGTGACCATTGCCAATCACGTCAAAGCTATTTGCCCCAAATTCGTTTTTCCAGGCCTTCTAGAAAATGATCACTATTTTGAGAGCCTGTAGTTGGCAAGTTGGCCTCGTCCACCTGATTGTCTCTCCTGCTGCAGCCAGGCTTTCTCTTGTTACCTGCCCGCAGCCATTGCTTGACACAGGCCAAAGCTGCTACCACCCACGACACAAGCAGGCTAAGACGGGAGCTGTGGCCAACGTGGCCAGTACAGAAGCCCAACCTATGGTCACAGGAAAGGTTTCTTGCTGAGTGGTACCCCTCCAGTTGTAATGAGGTATGGAGGGGTGAGGACTGGGAGGGGGTGACTCCTGTGCTTCTGAAGTAGCTGAGCAGAAATGGGGCAGCCGTCTAGCTAAGTGGTCCCTGATTAAGCAGGCATTTTTTTCAAAAGAAACAAGTTGACACTGCTTGGCCCATTGGCGGCTGCAGTGCTGTGAATTACATAATATGACCCTTCTGGTAATAGTCTTTACAACTCCCACCAAATGACTGGGTAAACAACAACAACAAAAAAGAGTTGGGCTGTGCAAATGTGAGGGGCTTGTGGTGCACCAGGGGGATTGACTACCTTACTAAATGTAAATAGGGTGCACTGCACCCTTGTAGGGGTGGAACCATGCAAAGAAGGTGTATGGGACCCTAATGTGGGGTTGGTCAGTTTTGCCATCCTGCTCGGCTTAAAATGAGCCATCCCAGAGTGGGGAAAGGGAGCTGTAGCTGCCACCAAGAAGAGGTGGGAGCGAAGTGCGTCGTTGGGACCTGGGGTCCCTGTGCTGGGAACCTCCTCCATGCAGGAGATGGAGAGCTGTAACACCAGAGAGACTGAAAAATGGCAAGAAGCAGCGGCAACAAAACCAGCAGGAGACCCCTGTGGGCTTCCGGACCCATGGAACGAGAAAGCTGAGCACCTTTGGACTGGAGGCATGCTGGTGGACTAGGATGTCTCCAAGCACTTGGAGCCAAGTTTGCAGACCCATGGAACTAGGGCTGAGCATCTTCGGGCCAAGGCTTACTGGCAGAGTGGGGTGCTTCTGGGCACTTAGGGCAGAGCTAAAAGAGCTTTGTAGCTACCACTGTCAACCATTCAGAGGGGGATCTGTGTAGGGAGATCCTGGATAGAGCAGGAGAACAATGTGGAACAAAACTCAAAAT